TATCTATCTATATATATATATATCTATCTATATATATATATATATATCTTAATAAAAATGTATCATTGACTGTGTGTTTTGCAAATGTGTCATAAGAATATTTTATTCGTGTTAATGTTAACCCCACCAAGAATATTTAAATACACTGAACCATGTGTTCATCTTTAATGGCTGTACTCCTGAGATTTACAGAGGAGAAAATCGTGAGAATGAGTTTAGTATTCAGCTCTGACGGATTAAATGCGCAAATACTTCATTGCTCCTGACAAACAGGCTACACTGAGTGGAGCGGTCGACCGTTCCAAGATGGCGGCCCTACAGCTCGTCAGCGCCAATAGGCGATAGCGGTCAATGCTGTATCTAGTGATTATATGATATCTATGCTTTAAACAACGAGCTACCGGAGAGTAGCAAGTTTGCTCCAGGAGGCGTGGCAGGAAGAGTTTTTAATGAGGCCACATCAATTAAAAAAAACTACAAACATGGCGTTTTAAACGAGAGCGACTTCAAGCGCTCAAGAGTTATAACAGGCGTATTCATAGGGCGTAATAATATGTAGATGATTGAAAGTGAAAGTGTTTGGTCCCAGCCCACTCGTAGGAGACGGGAGGCAGAATATGGTCGGGGTCTAAACGGGGGACATGGTTTAGTTCAGTCAGAGCAGTCAGATGGATCTGGGTCGATTCCTCGTTCGTGTTCTGATGCTTTGCCTGATCGGAACAACGAGTCCGTCCAGCGACGGTAAGAATGAGCGAAACAGAAACTTATCATCTTTTTACAGGATGTGACTTATTTATTTACAGGATGTGACTTATTTATTTACAGGATGTGACTTATTTATTTATTATAGACGCATGCGAAAAGACCTATATACGTACATCATTTCAAGTGCAAACTAACGAAATAAACCACACATATCTGGAGATTTCTAGTTTACAAAGAAGCTTTTAATGTTTTTTTTTTTTTTTTTTTTTTAAATCTCTAATCTGTAACAAAAATGTATCATAATGAAGACTATTAATCTAGGCATAATTAAGAATAAAATTAAAGTTTAATCAATAAACTTTTAAGTGCTACTGCATTTAATCATACTATAGTCAGCTATAAAGGGCAAAGCTGTTAAAGCAGCTGTTAAAATAAAATGTTTCACATTTTTTGTAATTGTTATACATTTCTGACACATATTCTGCGTGTATATTTTTTTTTTACCAGGTTTCAACTGCACTATGATTTTTTTTGTTTGTTTGTTTTTTTGTAGAAAATGATTTAAGCTACAGTTTGGGTTTTACCATACTTTCATTTAAAAAATATTATAGCAGCCTAAACTTTTTTTTATTTATTTTTTTTAAACTGAGATTCCAGAAAGCATTGAAGAGTGATTTGATGGACACTTTTTTGCCCCACTCCCCTCAGGAAGGAGGTTGAGGAGCATTAAGTGTAGAACCACTAGACTGAGGAACAGCTTCTACCCTGAGGCTGTTAGACTCATGAATCTCTAATCAGAATAATCACTGTGAAAAACCACATCATGTTGCTGCTGAGCTGTTTCATGTTGCTGCTGATCTGTTTCATGTTGCTGCTGATCTGTTTCAATGTTGCTGTGTTCATGCGTGCACATCCGCCCACACAGACTCATGTTCAATGTTTTTATGTTATGAGTGCTTAGTGTATATTTAGTTGATGTTTTTCTTAGTTCATATCTTAGATGTTATTACTGTTTTTCTTATACATTTTATTGTTGGATGTAACTGGGACCCTGTGTACATAATTTCACTCCACCACATGTACAACATGAGGTGCGAATGACAATAAAGAAACTCTGACTCTGACTAAAACTTTAGTTTAAGAAAAGGGTCTATATGACAATAGCTTTTCAATCAGCCACTAGGGAGTACAAGCCAGTTTATCTTTTGTGCCGGACCCAAGCCCGGGTAAATGATGAGGGTTGTGTCAGGAAGTGCATCTGATCTAAAACACTTCTGCCAAAACTAACATGCGACTTCATCTAAACAACACTGTATCGGATCAGTCGAGGTCTGGGTTAAATACAACTGCCATCGGTGCTGTTGACAAACAGGGTGCCGGCAGAAATTGTGCTACTGTTATTTGAAGACCATGACGAGGGAAACATATCAGGAGACAGAGGGAGAAGAAGAAAGTCAGACTGATGATGGCAACTCTTAATGTGGAGACAATGACAGGCAAAGGTAGAGAGCGGGCTGACATGATGCAGAGAAGGAAGGTAGATGTTTTATGTGTCCAAGAGACCAAGTGGAAGGGCAGCAAGGCTCGCAGCATCGAAGCAGGGTTCAAACTGTTTTACCATGGTGTGGATAGAAAGAGAAATGGAGTAGGGGTGGTCCTGAGGAAGGAGTTAGTAAAGATAGTAGAGGTGAAAAGAGTGTCAGATAGGGTGATGTGTCTGAAGGTAGAAGTAGAAGGTCTGATGTTAAACATCGTCAGTGGTTATGCTCCACAGGTTGGATGTGATGTGGAGGAGAAGGATACATTTTGTAAAGATCTGGATGAAGTGATAGAGAATATTCCCAGGGAGGAGAGAGTGGTGATCGGAGCAGACCTGAATGAACGTGTTCAGTGTTTCCCCATCATTATACAAGCGGGGTGTCCCACCCCATCAACAGAACTGAGCACCCCGCCTACCAAACCAAACTTGCCTCCCCACCTGGCACTGACATAGCACTAAGCTAGCAGCACAAAATACAGGCTCTCTAGCTAAAAAGCTAAAGGCGCCTCTTCCCTCATGCTGAAC